ACACACACACACACACACACACACACACACACACACACACACACACAGAGAAAGAGATGTAGTAGGAGAGCCACTTGTTTGTTCCTAGCTTCTCAGCCCTAAAATAACCACACAGAAATCATATTATTTGCAATACTGTTTGGCCAACAGTTTAAGCATATTTCTGGCTAACTCATATCTTAAACTAGCCCATCTCCATTAATCTGTGTATTGCCATGTGGCTGTGGCTTAGTGGGTAAAATTCTGATGTCTGTCTTCAGTGGGGCATGGCTTCTCACTGACTCTGTCTTCTTTCTCCTAGCATTCAGTTTAGTTTTCCTCTCCTAGCTCTGTTCTACCCTATCACAGGCCCAAAACAGCATCTTTATTAACCAATGGTATTCACATACAGCATACAGAGGAAAATCCCACATCACTTCCCCTTTTCTGTTTAAATAAAAAAGGAAGGTTCTAACTTTAACATAGTAAAATTACATATAACAAAACAAATATCAAGAATTACAGTTGTAATATTTATATCTACTTTTTCTTTTATTACAACTAAGAAAAACTATATCTATTCTTCAACTCCTTTAAAGACCCTGGAAGGATATAATATTACCTAAGTAAACAGAAAGTTCATTGTCAGCAACTTCCAAAAGTCTAGAATTGACAGAGACATTTCACTGCCTGGACAATCACCCAAAGTTCTTCTGTACTGTTGGAGCATCCATCTTCAGCCTACAGGCTCATAGTATCCAGCAGACTTTGCCATGAATCAGGAAATTTGAAGATCTGTTCTGCCTTGTAATAGCATAGTCCACCAGTTGCTTTCTTCTGTGTCCTGCAGAATCTCTGGCAGACTCTTTCATGAAGCAGGAACCCTGAAGGATCATTTCACCTTTAGGCAAGTTCATCAGTCATCTCTCTGTGGGTCCCACATGTCTAGCTCACACAGCATAACATCAAGCAGTCCAGGCAAGAGCGGTCTCTTGCCCAAATGTCTAGCAAACTCCATAAGGAGCCTCTTCAATGCCCATCATCCTCTTGAAGTAGATTGGTTCTGCCAGGAGCAGATGTGCCTCATTGTCATGAAAAGTACTACCTTATTAAACATCATAAATGCCATACTCTGAAGGTCTTTGAAAGATTTGAAGAATCCCTATCTACCTGAAATATATCTCTGTACAACAAGAAAACCTAACAAACATGACTACAAGCTTGACTATTACAGATGACTATCTATTAACCTATATTTCTTAAATATACATTACATTTTTAAATGAACTGTATAAACACAATACCTTAATCAAGATCAGAAACACAAATACACAATTTAACAAAATTGACCTTAAATTTGTATCAATAAACCAAGATCCATACCAATGCAAATCTCTATAGCATATTTCCTTTTAAATGTAAATAAACATTTATAAACAATATTTGAGAATATGGTCATAGTTCTCTCCAAACTGCTTCTTGCTTTTTGTTGGGTGAAGTATTTTGGGGGTATTCATGGTGGCCTTTTAGGGAAGAGGTCTTGGTCCATCAAACCACATTAGTTTGGAAGGATTCTACAGGTTCTCATCCTCTGTGGAAACAAAAGAAGAACCTCTTTTCCAAAACAATATATCCTAAGACCCAAATTTTGAAGAGAAGATAGTTTTAAGGTATATATGTTGGTTTAGCTTAGCAGCCTATACAATGAGATGTCTCTCTGTACTTTGCTCCTTCACTGTCGAAAATTTCAAAGAAAACACAATAATATACACAATCCAGACTCTTCTGCGTCTAATCCATCTTTACATGGTTCATTTTCTTTTTATTCCTATAACTTTTTCTACAAGTTTACTTTGTCTCTTTAAAGACTTTGTTTTAGTTTTTAAAAAACATTTACTTCTTTTTTATAACTCTCTCTATTCTTTTACTTCTCTCTCCCAAGTCTATGTACATTTATCAAACACTGTGATCCATTTAGAGGTCATTTTCATCTGAATGTGTCTTTATTGTATATCTGTAATCCTTTTCTGACCAGGACTGCTTCTTAAAATGGTAAGTGCTTCTTAAAAACCTAAGCAGTGGCATGGCTAGGGTGAATAAGGCCCTGCCTGTTTGCTCCACCCAGTCCGACATGGCGGAAGACTGTTCACTGCCTCTGAAACTGTCGGGTGGGAGCTGTCCTCACCACTTCAACTCTTAGAACCAGTTGGTCCATGCTGCCAAGTAATTTACAGCACACTGCCCCCACAAACCCCATTTAAATGCCCAGTTTCCTGAGAGAGAGAGTAGGGGGGCAGGGTCTGTATCATTGTGGAACGTAGCTCCCTCTCTAGTTCCACCTTGGTGCAAGTTCTCCAGTTCTCTGCTCCTCTGGAAGACCATACCTTGCACTAGATGTTGGTGACATCAGTGGTGAGACAGGCAGAGACCCCCAAGCCCCCAAACATTCCCATTATATTCTGTCTTCCAGATGATAGTTACAGACACACTGTCTTTCCTTCTATTTGGGCTAAATTTTCTTACTCTTTGTATCTTGGTGCATTAGTTAATTTCTCAGGAAAATAATGCTTTTATCTTAAGCTTTTACATGTCAAACTCTGTTGAGTTGAAACTGTATATTTTCTTGTATTATTATTCTTTTCATTTATAAATTCTTTATTTCTTATGATACCATGAATTTTGCCTCTTTATACTTCTTATAGTGATATAATGGTTTTCTAGGGCTAGATGTCATGGACACTAAATAAATATTTGTTGACTAGGTAAGTTATTTAGAAATGACTGCCTGTGGATAGAGAAGTGGTGTGTGTGTGTGTGTGTGTGTGTGTGTGTGTGTGTGTTTGTATGTATGTACAGTAAACAACCAATGGCACCCACTGGGATGCCTGCCAAGCTTGGAAGCCCATGTCTCCCTTTTCCTGACATTTGTCCCAGATTTATAGCGGTGACTCTGAAAAGTGTGTCATCTAGAACATGTCACCTTGAACAGCATGGACACTCATTCCTAAAGGAGTTAGATTCAAAGCTCACTCAGAGTCTTTCTTAAGAGTAAGAACAAGAGACAGCTAGAAGGTGGAGCCAAGCCCAGTTATCAATGGCAGAACTCCAGAGAAATCAACTCTTGAGTTGACTCTCTGACTTTGCTGAAGCACCAAGGACACTCAAGCTCTGAGTTCCTAAGTTTCTTTGCAGGCTGTGAACTTTTACTGATGTTTCTTTGCCTAAACTAGTTCAAATTGTGTTTCATTGTTTGCAGCCAGAAAACATTATTGTTAGCTTAGCATTGCTACCGTAATGCTCCAAAGCAGAAGGTGAGCCATGACTAAGACGGGAGTTGGTTTTAAAGGCAAGTGCTGGAATTAAGGAGTAGAGCTGATGGTGGGAGAAGCAGATGCCACTTTGGGCAGGACTCACTGTGGTTTTGACTGAAATGGAAACACATGATTCCTAACATGCTGTGGGAGGGGACGCTATAGTCATTCCTGTGTGTGCAAACCCATTACCTCCAGAAAGGTTTACATGCATAAGACAAATTTCACTAGTTTTCTACTCCCAAAGCTCAGTAAACTAAATAGGAATCTCACTCCCCCTATAACACTGGTGTCTACTGGGTCTCCAAAAGTACCTGTTCTATATTATGTTTCTACTAAAACAGTTTCTGTAAGATTCCTA